CGACGGGCGCTCCCTCTCCCGAGCCTGCCCGTTCTCGTCCGAAACACCGCCAAGGAGATGGTGTGGTCTAAACGCAGGGTAAAAGTCAAGGTTCGTAACTCCCAGGGCTGTGTTTTTCTGTGTGGTTGGTAATCTGCTCCCAAACGGAAATGTGTTGTGGGATTTCGGCATTGGGAAATAAACCCGGTGTGGATAGCTCCTCACGGGCTTTCTGAGACAGCAGGTCCCATTTTCTGCTAAGGAGGACACCTTCCTTTCTAAGGTTGGTATCACACCAGTGTTTTCAGTACTTTTTTGTTCAGCTAGTATCACCTTGCTGTGAAAACAAAGGACTCTATAGCCATTGACACAATGTACATGTATAAAATGTACGTTACTAAACCTTTAAAAAAAAAAACAGGATGGAAGCTGAGGACTCTGGAACGAAACAGCAGGTGTGTAGGATCTAGCAGAATATATTTATTTTAATCCTACTACTAAGAAGCAGGCAGCTTTCACAAAACAAGTCTTTAGTAATGTATTTTGTACCTGCACAAAAGAACAACGTGAAAGAAATACCTGTTTTAAAATCAATCTCTTTTTTCAGTCAATATCTCGGTGTTTTGAAGAGCCAGTAACATATTGTATTTCTGGGTTTGTATAACGGAAGAGAGTTTGCGCCCGAAAAATCATGTGCATCTTCAGAGGCATCCGGAAGATACTACAGTCCCTGAAATCATTAGTTTGCTTAATTTTTGAGAAGTTATTCTCATTCATATTTCCTCCATGCAAAAAACCTTTTGCTGGGGAAATAGTGCTTATTACTGGCTCTGCAAATGGGATTGGAAGGCAGATTGCCTTGAAGTTTGCTCCTTTGGGAGCAACCTTGGTTCTTTGGGACATTGATGATGAAGGTAACAAAGAAACAAGAATTTTAGCCCAAAAAAATGGAGCTGACGGAGTGTTTGCCTACCACTGTGACTGCAGCAATAAAGAGGAGGTCTATGAACAGGCAGACAAGGTAAGATGCAGCTTCTGGCTTCTGATTTGTCTTCTGGCTTCTGATTTTTTGCTTTTTTAATAGTATATGCTATTTATTTTTTTTAGAAACTACTATATGCTAAAGGAAAGTAATCATGTAGGGCAAGGACTTTTTCAGAAGTGGCTTCTAGATAGAACTTTATGTTCGTAACTGGGTTTAATCTCTTCGGTCGAGACTTATCCATTCCCAGTCTTTGCTGTGAGATGGTAACTTATTTTAGACTAAGATTACGGTAAAACATACGGCAGAGGTTAACTCGATTAGCTTGCTTAGGCTTCAAAATTTCTTCCAGATATCAAGAAATTAAAAAAAAAATAAATAAAAACCTTGGAACTTGTAAGGGGGTGGGTCCTTTTCTTTGTCCATTTGTTTATAGAACTGTAGTTCTGTAAGGGTGATGGGAGGTGTAATGGTTTCATAAACACCATCAGGACGTGGCTGGTCTCCAGTCAAATTGGTGATTCAGCTTCAGTTTATTTGGTGGTCAATCCAGCTGGAAAGTAACGTAGAGAAGGACTCCATCTTCTGCTGTGCTTACCTACACTTTGCAAACTATTACTTTTTTATTATTATTATCAGAGTCCATAAATTGGACATTAACATTATTCATTTCTAAAATTATTAATTTTTACTTGTCCTTAAACTACGTACTGCCTGAAAATATTTCCCAGTATAACCTCACTGATAATGCAGTTAGCCACTCTGCCACTTTATCCGAGGATAAATAATCCTTCCTCTGTTAAATTCTCAGTATGTGTACTTGCATACATGACTCTCAAGTCGCATCTTTGACATTCTGTGTCCAAAGGCATACATTAGAGAAATTTAGCTAAGATCTTTCATGACACATGAATGTTGATAGACTGTTTTGGAATAGCCTTGAACTGTAACATTGATTTTCTATAAGTTGTCGAGGGGGGGACCCTTTGTTTTGTGGCTGTTGCTTTTGATTTTAACCAAAACAGATGAATTCTTTCTGAACATGGCTATGAAAGTTTGAAATAAGTATTTTTCCTCAAGACGTGTTCCCAATGAAAAGTGCTTCTAAAGGGTAAGTTGGATCCGGGATCTGTAAGTATCTGGAACTGCAATTCTCATCCTTGCAGTCAGCAAGGGATTATTTTACCTGTACTCGTTAGCAGCATTTGGGGCACAGCCAACTAACAATGCACAGAAAAAAATTCCAATTGGCATTAAATCCCTATTCCCATTAATGCTATCTGCTTCTTGCACAGATATGCACCCAAATGATTCGTTTAAGCTCTTTTAAGTAATTACTCTGTTCGACTTTCCTGTTGATGCTGAACATTTTGAAATTATTTGCTTGTTCTTAGTTTAGCAGTCTCAAAATGTTTGTTTTGTGCACTCAAGTAATTCTCAAGCTCCAAACACGTGAACCACATGAGCCACAGGTCTCCAGCCTGCAGAACTTGCTGTGCCCATAACAGCAGAGAGTATTTTGAAGTGCACAGACTGACCTACAAGCAGAAACTCAAAGAGCTCCTTCAAATTCAGGAATTGTTGTTGAGTTGTTAAATTATTGTTAACCATACCAACATCTTTGTAGGCGCTTGTATGAGTTGAGGAGTAGAGTCTGAAATTTTTTTAGATCAAGAGTTTTTCAGCCAGAAACTGAAACTCCTGCTCTTGGAAATACTTGCAACTTTTTCAGTGGTAATAGGAAGAATCTTGAGCTTGGACACAGAAGATAAAGAAATAGCAGAAAAGTTAAATTAATGGCTTTTATTTGGTATATTCACTGCAGAAAAACTTAGGTATTTTCCCATGATGGAAGTTTTCTTTCTAGGAAGCAAATCAGATCATCAAAGCCATTGGGGAAGGTACGTTGTCATGTGAAGAAAAAAAAAGGATAGTCATACAGACTGACATGGTAGTTAAAAGGTATGAGTGGGGAGAAAATACAGCTCTATCCCACAAAGGAGGAGTTGGGTATTCCTGACATATTCAGGAGTTTCTAGATGTGCATTCATTTGTGCGGGTGGAATGGTGCTAGTATCTGAGCCCTGCTGGACTATGACAAGGAGAAAGAGAGACCCAGCTGGAGAAGCACCAAACAAGTCTCCACTGAACACTGAGGTTCCCCAAGAGACCCAAAGGAAGGTCAAACGTTGTGGCATCAGATCCAAGTTTGCCAGACAGCAGCGTGGCTGGGACTTTTATGTTTTTCTAGTCATTCTATAATTTTTGAGACACCAAACAACTGTTTGCCTCTAGCTCAGAAATCTCTGCAGTGAGCCTGATTCTTACTCCTGTAAGTAAATCTTGGCCATCTGCTTTGATATAAATCCAGACCATGGAATAAAATCTTTTTATAACAAACCCAAATGGAGCTAGATGGTGATTCTGGCCTTCTCTTCAGGTGATGTTATCCATCTATTTCATGGTACATACTTCTGTGCTCACAGTGTTGTCATCCCCCAGGGATCTGCACTGAATTCTTTCCTGTCCAGTAGAAATGATCCGGAAAAGGGGTTGAGCAGGCTGAGGAATACAGGTTCTCACCATACTGGCAATAGGGGACAAGAAATATTCAGGTTGCAATTAAAGTGTGGTCACAGTGCACGCTAAAGCTTTGTCACTCATTACCTTATGTTCCTGTGGAAGCCAAAAGTATTCTGGAGTCTGGGAAGCAATTGGGGGAAAAAAAATCATGGGCTATATGTTAAATACAAAGACATAGGTACCTTATCTCTCTCAGGAAGATCCTAAGCTGCAGAGTGTGAAAGTTGAGGAGACCTGAGGGTCCTGGTCCTTTTTTTACCACAAGGGCTGTGGGGCTAGCTAGACCTTTGATCTGATGCAGTACCACCGTTCTTACATACTTACGTTTCCAGTAGAAATAGAAATAATTGCAAATATCACTAAACATTTTTATAAATGAAACACAAGAGATGAGGATATAATTCTGAAGCTTTCTGCTTATCCTTTTTTTTATTCAGGTTAGAAAAGAAGTTGGGGATGTTACTATTCTAGTCAACAATGCTGGCATATTGATTGGGAAAAAGTTCTGGGACCTCTCAGATGCAGATTTTGAAAAGACCTTAGGAGTCAACTTCTTCGCTCATGTCTGGGTAATGTATTTTTTTCTCTCCTGGGTGAAAGGCAAATATCTTAGTGTGGAAATCACCATGGTGGCATCTACCTGGGTAATCCAATTTGGAATAGGGATGGGACGGTCCTTGAATGGGGAAAGATACTTCTTTTTTTTTTTAATCATCCTGTAATTGGAGACACGCCAAATTGCCAGTCTCCCCACTATGTCTCAGTAATGTTAACACAAACCTGCCTGGGCACTCTGGTAGATCTAAAGGTTGTGCAACCGTGTGGTGAAACGTGCTCTGTCTGTACCAGCTGTGGCTGAACTTAGTGCTGACGTGGTGGCAGGTGACTTTCCTGCTCCTGAGGTTTGCCAGAAGGCTTTGTCTAAAAGAATGAATATATTCATCAACGACTTGGATGA